GCCATTCGGCTGAAGCCGCGCTCGGGCTCCCCCTGTCCTCCCGCGTCCGGCTGTTCCTCTTCCTGAGATGGCGGAGGAGGAGGCGGAGGAGGAGGAGGCAGGGCTCCCTGTGGACTCCCTTCGTTGCCACAGCGATTGGGAGGCTCCAGCAGCGGCTGCTGCTTGCCTCCGCCTCTCCGTGGCCGAACCATCCTCCTCACTTCCCTAGAAAGAAAGGCGGGAAACGGGGAAAGGCACGCTGAGGCAAAGGAGCCCGAGCTGTTTGTAGGGAACACGGCGACCGTTCCCAAGAAGCCAAGGGCGGGGGGGGGCAGGTGTGTGTGTGAGGGGACGCGCTGAGGCAGAGGAACCGTAGCCGGTGGCAAGATCCCGGCTCTGCGAGGTTTGGGTTCGCTTTCCCGTCCCCCTCCCCGCGTTGGCCCGTGATTGGCTGCCAGGGGCGCGTGAAGGCCGTGGCCGCGAGAGGGCGGCGCGGCGCAGCGCCTGAGTGCACCCCCTTGGCCTTGCCTCGAGGAAGTTGCTCCTCTGGCGCTATTACTGTAGCCTTGACCTCGTTTCTCCCTGGCCTCTTTACTGTATTTCCAGCCTGTTCTCCTGCTTCACTTCTCTCTCAAAGGAGGGGTGGGATCCCTTCCAGTAGCTATTAGGGCCTTAAGCCTACCTTGCTCTCTAGGCTTGAGCATATGGGGTACACCCTTGTCCAGAGGCTTCTTATTTTAAGGCACAAGAAGAGGGCTCACGGCCGGAGATAAGTGGAGATTGCTGTGCAAAGGCCAAGGGCCGGTGTGGTGTACTGTACCTTGGTTAAACGTGCCAGAGAAGAACTTGAAAGATCCAAAGTCTGTTCCTCTTTGAGCCGTGGAATTCACTGGGTGACCTTGTGTTAGTCACTCTACTATGGCAGTGGTTCCCAACCCTTTTCAAGTTGTGACCACCTTTTATAGTAGCGAAGTTACCTGTGACGCACACACACACTGGCCCATTTGCAGAAAAGCATGTTTAATAGGGCAAAGTCATTCCCTTCTCAGAAAGCAGGGGCTTCTTTCTTCCCCAAAGGGCCTGCTTCTCATACGTACATGTATATGCTAACTTTAATATCTGGCTCTGAAAAGTCAAGAAAAAAACATTAATAAGGGCTGCAACACTTGTAAGGTGACCCGCAAATTCCTAGAAAATACTTTGTGACTCCCTTGGGGTTGTGGGTCCTAGGATGGAAACAGTGCTCTGTGAGTTTGATTTACCTAACAGCGTTGCTGTGAGGACAACTGATGAGAATAATACTTTGAGCTCAGTGTATGTGCCTCCCACGTACAGTGAGTATAGCACATAGAAGCAGAAAGGAAGCTCCAAGTTAGCTGAGAAGACAAGATTTTGGAACATTGGCCTAACATTGCCCTATTTGGGTGTCACTCTGGATTGAACCTTGACTTACAAAAAAATTGTCTAAATGCCAAACAGAAAGTTGCCACCAGAAATAACATACTTAGGAAACTGAATGGGGCAGGCTGGCAAAATATCCTAGTGCCGTATGGTGTATATCATCACATGCCAAACAAGTGGATGTAGCTCTTAATCATGCAGAATTATTACTGGCTGTGTGGAACCTATTCACATTGAAAAAGGCTATTATTTGACTAGCAAAGGGCCTCCAGAAATACGTTGATATGTGCTAGCAAATAATGAACGAAATCAGGTAATACAAACTCATCCACTTCTGGACACCAACCCAGCGGTCCCCAATCTTAAGGAATCATGGAATGGTTGGGGGGGCAGGGCACCCCCACACTTGTGGGGGGTATGTCACACTCACGGGGGGTGTCACTCACAGGGGGGGTGTTGCACGAACATGCGAGCATGTCACACCCCCCGCGCATGCACGTGAGCATGACACCCCCCCGAGAGCGTGACACGCCCGCCAAATGTGTGTGCAAGGGGCGGAGATCCATCTCCACGGCTCAGTCCTGGGAAGCCCGCGGATCGGCACCAGGGTTGGAGACCCCTGCCCTAGAGGTCAGCTAAAATTGAGCAGTTTTCTACACACATCTCAAGTTCTCAATATTAAACCTGAAGAAGCTATGATAAACCTATGGAGAACAAAAACAACACTCCTTTCTGAATGGATGAATGCTGAAGACTCTGCAAGACTGGCTGGACTATCTGGAAGTCACTAGACTTTGAAGCAAAGTAGGAAGATCAAAGAATAATCAAGTAAAATGGGGCTCCTTGGATAAAGGACAAAGTTTCTGTGACTGTGGAGAAATTCAATCAATGCAATTATGTGGATGCAATTTATGCCCCAGCCTGTGTACAAAAGAAGTTCTAGCAAATAGCTGAGATAATGGTATTGAAGTAGCTTGCTTCTGGGAAAAAATTCTAATTATCGTAACATTTTAATTTGCTTTTAACTTTACAGTACTTATATTTCATGTATGTCCATAATTTTAAATTGTGCAATGCTCTGATACCAATAAAGAAAAAAGAATTGAAGAAAAGTGGGATATAAATAAAGTAATAGTTTTTTAAAAATTGAAATGTGCTGGAAAAAAGCTTTGTGAATACCCTGGACTGCCAGAAAGACCAATCAAGTGGGTCCTAGATCAAATCAAGTCTGAACTACCTCTGGAGACAAAAATGCTGAATCTGAGGCTGTCTTACTTTGGGCACATAATGTGAAGGCAGGATTCTCTGGTTAAAACAATAATGCTTGGAAAGGTGAAATGAAGCAGGAAAAGAGGAAGACCAAATACAAGATGGACTGACTCCCTAAAGGAGCCACAGACTTGAGTTTTCAAGAGCTGAGCAAAGTGGTTAAGGACAGGATCTTTTGGAGATCACTCATTTGTTAGGTGGAAGGGATTGTCACTCTCAAATTGGCCTTCTCAGCCACACTAGATGCTGTTCCAAGTCCTCCATACAGAACATGTTACCATAGTCTCTTGAGACTGAAGGATGCCTAATCTAAATAGACTATTTAGAAGAATATATCTATCAACAGCAGGTAATAAAGTGTGAGGCGTCTAATCAGATAGCAGGAGTGGAGACAGAAATTAAGTCTTGTATAATCAGATTTTGGTAAACAAAGCAAATACCTTAAAAATAAAATTTAAAATATCTAAAAGGAAGATGAATTTACAATCAATGTGTGTTGACAGTATGCTGCACAGGCCTGGACTCTAGCAAAATCCGTAACGGAAAAGTTTACAAAAATTGAAAAAGCGATGGAAAGAGACATGCTAAATGAACTGACTAGATCTTCAGGGAAATCTCAACCCACAATGGCAGTTGGTAAATAGTTACTACAGTACCACACAAGAAATCTGATGCTAAAGGGCTTAGAGTTGAACAGAATGAGGAATTAGAAGCCAAAATCTTCCTGGTGAGTTGCACCCATATTAAATGCAGTCATGTAAATTGCAGTGGTAAATCATCAGTACAGTGGGGTCTTGACTTGAGAACTTAATCTGTATTGGAAGGCGGTTCTCAAGTCAAAAAGTCTGTAGGTCAAGTCTCCATTGACCTACAGTGCATTGAAAACCGATTAATCCTGTAACAGGCCGTTTTTGTTCCATTTTGGTTTTTTTCGTAGTTAATTTGATTCTTGTATCTCTTCTTGTTGTTGCTATTTGCCATCAAGTCACCTATGACTCATGGAGACCTAACGAATGAGTGATCTCCGAAAGATCCTGTCCTTAACCACTTTGCTCAGCTCTTGGAAACTCAAGTATGTGGCTCCTTTAAGGAGTCAGTCCGTCTTGTATTTGGTCTTCCTCTTTTACTGCTTCATTTCACCTCTTAGAAGTGTCACCATGTGCATCTATTCTCTTTTGCTGAAATGACTATTAATTCCTGAAAAGGATGTATGCATTTTATTTTGAGGCCTCAGTTTGATTGCTCTACCATGAGTGACCTCCACTAGGAGACTAGATTAAGAATGGAATCAAGGTTCCTGGCTTTATTGTTCTCAGCTTTCCTGAGACAATCAGACCAGAGTAGCTTCAGAAAGGGCCCTCTCTTTTGTCCTTGCCTGTTAGATTGACAAGATTTACTATCTTGTACAGTGGACCCTTGACTTACAGACGGCTTGACTTACAGACTTTTTGAGTTACAGACTTCTCTGGCCGCAAAATTTAGGTTTGACTTGCAGACTGAGATTTGATTTACAGACCAGAAAAAAACCAAAATGGAACAAAACGGCCTGTTACGGGATTAATCGGTTTTCAATGCACTGTAGGTCAATGGAGACTTGACTTACAGCCTTTTTGACTTGAGAACCGCCTTCCAATACGGATTAAGTTCTCAAGTCAAGACCCCACTGTAGTGTTTCCCCCGACAAGATAGTAAAAGATTGAGAGGTTCATATAGGGGATGCAGTCGTTCAGATAAATCGTTGAGAGCTTGAAGGCAAAAACCAGCACTTTGAACTGGGCCTGGAATTGGATTGGTAACCAATTAAGCTGTTGGAACAGTCTTTTGATTCCCCTTGTAACCAAAATATGTAGCCATATTAGCAACCTATTTTTTGTAGGATGACTTGCACATTCATGTGACTGTGTTCACCCATGTTTAACCTCACATTCTTTTACTCCATTTGCTACTGGAAGATGGGCTCTGTATGAATTCCCTGGAACTTATCTAATTCTGTTGTGCCTTCCAGTATGTATCTTTGTTGTCCGATCACTAGCCTTCCCTATCCACATTGTTCTTCCAGTTGACCCTTCTTTTATCTAATGTTTCTGAGACACCTGCCAAAATTGTTTTTTAATAATAATCATATGACTGCAGAGCTATAAGGGACCATATAGATAGAACACTCAATCTAGCCCTTGTCAAGGAGGCACACTGGGGAATCAAACTCCCAACCTCTGGCTCTG